TCAATTCCAGCTTCGGCCTTCCTGTGTGGAGTTTGCATGTTCTCCCCGTGCTTGCGTGGGTTTTCTCCGGGTCCTCCGGTTTCCTCCCACATTCCAAAAACATGCATGGCAGGCTGATTGAACACTCCAAATTCTCCCTAGGTGTGAGTGTGAGCGTAAATGGTAGTTTGTTTCTGTGTGCCCTGCAATCGGCTGGCAACTGGTTCAGGGTGCCCCCCGCCAACTGCCCGAAGACAGCTGGGACAGGCTCCAGCACCCCCCGTGACCCGAGTGAGGATAAAGCAGTTCGGAAAATGAATGAATGAATGAATGAATGAATGAATGAATAAACATCAAAGGCATTAAAGCTTACAAAACACTTGAGTCCTCCAACAACTTTGTTTGTGGGTGAAGTCAGCCATCAAATTCTCATCATTGTGAAGATAAGTCTGCCATAATCCATCAACCACGGACAAGGAAACATGTATTTGTTGCGTGCAAAAACTGATTGTGTTTTAAACAAAATGTTTGTTTTGTAATACACCAATGGATGAATGCCTAGATAATAAATGGCCATTCATAAATATCATCTCGATCTATTTTTCACACTTTTAAAAGCTTATCGAAAAATGACCTTTACAGTGTGTCGAAGTACTGCGATACACACTTTAGTACAGGGGTCCCCAACCGCCGGTCCGCGGACCGGTACCGGTCCGCCGGGCATTTGGTACCGGGCCGCACAGAAAGAACTTGCCTTAATTCAGTTTTATTTCGGAATACGAAAGATGTTTTATTTTGAAAAACTACCGGATTCTCCGTTACATCCGTCTGTGTCACGCTTGACACACGTCAAGCCACGCTTCTCCATCACGTGACCGATTACTTCAAAACAAAACGCAGAAGCTCGCAAAATGAGTAAAAAAAAACTGCTGGAGATCGCAAATCACGGCGGCCTTAAAAGTACGTTCGAGACAACTGGATTAAAGTTATGGCTGAATACTCTGAGATCGCCACAATAGCACTGTTGCTATTTCCGACATCTTACCTGTGTGAGGCGGGGGGTTTCTGCAGCAACGGCGACGAAAACAAAATTACGAAGTAGACTGGACATAAACCACACACTTGAGGTGTCATTGTCTCCTTTTACCCCGAGATGGGACCGTCTGGTTGTAGAAAATCAAGCTCGGTGCCGTGGTGAGTCGTCATTTTCATGCACTTTGAATTTGCGTTGTATCGTATTTTGAAGGCATTAAACATTGCCATAGCGATCGGAGTGATGCGGCCAGATTAGACGCTCCTTGTGTTTATTATTATATTTCGAAAACACCACAGTTTTCATGCAGCTCATACCATATTAATTTCTTGTATTATTTCCACCACACCTTAAATGCCGGTCCCTGAAAATATTGTCTGACATAAACCGGTCCGTGGGGCAAAAAAGGTTGGGGGCCCCTGCTTTAGTATACTTTGGCAGTTGGACATTTTTTTGATTTATTCTTATGATTCATGTGTTTGTTCTCCACTCCGTCACACTCGTGATGTCTGACAACAGGGACTCCAAAGGAGCTTTTTTTCATGTCCTTGTTCGCGCTGTTGTTGCACCAATGAATGGCACGTCTGCGTTTAAATGTGAAGCTCTCTCCAGAATGCTAACTAATGGGGATGTGGATGCCTTATAGCTACGGCAACAGCTTGTGGTGAAAAAGAAGTGGATAGTTTTCTTCGTCGATCACTCTTGTTTTGGGTGGGCGTTAAAACCCTGGTTCGTAATCATTTTTCAGAAGACTAAAGAAACATCTTCCCCCTTTTTCACCCAACTATTACAGCCAACAATGACACCTACACATTGAATGACGAATGGCAAATGACGCTATGTTAGCAGGGCTCGATGACCAGTCTGTTTGCTAGCAATACATTGTTGGTAATACGAAGGCCTCGAAGGACTCTATCAAGGAAAGTCTATCCATTATCTGAACCGCTTCTCCTCACAAGGGTGGCGGGGGGTGCTGGAGCCTATCCCAGCTCTCTTCGCGCCGTAGGCGGGGGACCTACCCTGAATTGGTTGCCAGCCAATCGCATGGCACACATAGACAAACAACCATTCACACTCAAAAGCACACCGAGGGACAGTTAGCAGTGATCAATTAACCGACCATGCATGTTTTGGGAATGTGGGAGTAAACCAGAGTACCCGGAAAAAAAACCACGCAAGTACAGGGAGAACAAGCAAACTCCACACAGGAAGTTGGAGCCAGAATCGAACCTTGCACCTCTGCACTGTGAGGCGGACGTGCTAACTAGTTGTCTATTGATTTTTTTTTCAAGCAATAATACTAAAATAAATATAATACTGATAAATGTATTTTTAAAAATAAGACTACAGTATTTGTGTTAATTTAACTAATTACCATTAAAAAAAATTTGCTTTCATAAACAAAGTAAATGCCTTGAAGATGTGTGAATCTGCGACACGGGGCAGGTGTGTATTGACATATTTTTAATTAAAACGAATCATTTCAACACAATAGAAGGTTTTAGGTGGTTCCGCACAGCTCACTTGTTTTCTGAAGCTGAGCCCTGATTTGTTATTACCTGAGCAATGACCAACTGTATCGTTTTCAGTCAACAAAAAGTGGCAAAATGGCCGCCACCTGAGATGGATAAAAACTGGTGAATTTGCTACTTAATTCATATTCCACAAATGCAACTTCAAGATGAAATGCTTCTCCACTTTGACGCCAAAATGGACAATCCCCCCCCCCCCAAAAAAAAAGTGAAATTGCATTGAGAAGAAGCTCTTAAGCAAGTCGTGGAATTACTTTGTAAAACAGTGAGTGAGCAGTAGTGAGGGTGAAAAGTTTAGACCAGGGGTGTCAAACTCATTTCACATGGTGGGCCACATACGGCCTCGGTAGATGTCAAGTGGGCCGGACCATTAAAATGATACAACTTTAACAAGTAATTGGTATTGAAAAATATAGTAATGCACTTTAAGATTAAACAAGATTCATAAAGAAAGCAAGTTTTAAAGCATTTACACGTGCATATAAAATCTAAATGTAATCCCTGCCTACACCTTACAAACTAAGGAGAGTGCTATTAAATGTGGAAATGTGAGAGTGCTATTGATAGCGTCTGCTGTCATGGGTCTGTCTCAGTGACGGACTGAGGCTGCTGTTGTCTTCTTCTCTGATCAAAACAGTGTCCCCTTGCGGATACTCAATGAATTGCACCTGATTAAAAATATTAATTCTGTGTCTTTAATGCATTTTTTTCACTTTTGCATTATCCTGCGGGCCTGATTGAATCTACTTGCGGGCCGGTTCCGGCCCGCGGGCCGTATGTTTGACACCGATGCTTTACATAATCATCTCGCGGGCCGGATTAAACTCCTTTGCGGGCCGGATCCGGCCCGCGGGCCGTATGTTTGACACCCCTGGTTTAGACAAAGGCAATGCCTACCTGAAAGTTGAGGAATCTTAAAACAGGAGCCAGGCCACCACTTTTGTTTTCTGGATGTTCCTGAACATGCAAAGGGCTGTGATGTTGTGTCCTTCATCAGTCAGCTGATTCCATCTTTTTTTTTTTTTGGGTGAAGATAATGTTTTCACTCCCCTGTTCCTGGAGCATGTCCATCGCACCCCATTGTATCGTCGCCAGGATTATAGGTCAAATTTCTCCATCCCCCTGATAAACTGAGATATACCGATGGCACAGCCAAGGTTTTCACCTGCCCTGAAGACGCCGAGATGTCTCAATGAATTTTCCATCATTCCTTTTCTCTTAAGGGCTGTTATTTCATAAAGAATATTATTTTGCTATTTTATTAAATGGCATTGTACATTGAGGAGGCAAATCTGAATTTGTTTTTTTTTTTTGCTTGTTTTGTGCATTCATATATAGTACCCCGTACATATTTGTAAAATTAGAAAATGATCTCTATGGTTGTTACAGTCTGTGCATGCGGTCTGTTTACTTCTTAATATTTTTACTTTGGCACACAGTTCTGTTTGGATGGATATATATTATACATTTTTATGTTTGTATGTGATTGGCTGGGGAGGGGTGGCTAACTGTGGGCAGAGATGTGTTCTATGTGCCGCCGTGTTGTGTTGTTATGTTTGACTTTGTATGTTGGGCCTCCTCTAAAACGAGATGGCTCCTCTCAAGGGTTAGAACCACTATAAATAAATAAATAAATAAATAAAGGGTGGAACACACGATAAGTCGTTGATAATGCTTGTGGCCAATAACAATATACGGTAATAATATACCACAGTGAAGTGTATAGGCCTACATATAAGCTCTATTTCTGAAGAAAATCATACAATAAATGAGACTTACCATGAGCAAATAGATTAGCAGCAGTAAAGACCAATTCCTCTGACTTCTGTCGCATAAAGGGGCAAGGGGAGGAGCTTCACGCTCACATACAGTTCAGGTTTCCACATCATTCGGAGAACTCTACACCCGCAATAAAACCATATCCATCCATCCATTTTCAACACCGCTTATCCTGAACAGGGTCACGGGAGTTGCTGGCGCCTATCCCAGCTGACTTTGGGAGAAAGGCGGCCTACCTGCTGAACTGGTCGCCAGTCAGTGGCATACAGAGACGAATGACCAAACACACCCATATTCACACCGACATGAGTGGGAACCGATCCCACGCTGCCACACACAAGTCAGCTGAGTGTACCACTACACCATCAGCGTTGCAATAAAACCGTATAAGTAAAAAAAATAAAAAAAAATAAAAAAAAAACAACAATAAAACATTTGCATATTATAATTCAGAAATGAAAACAAGCAGCAATATATTCATTTCCCCATGCTCAAGCATGACGACCAGGCACTTCTATATTCTAAAATAATCATTTTAATTTGTGAAGACGAGAAACAAATTGAGGGTTAACCATCTTACGAGAGAAAGCTGACGATTTTGCGTGTTGTTTTGGTTGGATGACAGCAGTGCAGCCAGCAGGCCATCGCCGCGGCAGTTGCTGGTTTTGCGTCCCCTAAAAATACCCCTCGCCAAGTGCGCACATCAAAGGGGGTTACAGCGTTGCCACGAATCCCGCCCCGGCTTTTAAGCGAAAGCCAGCCATGGAGGAGGAGCGTGCAGTGTGTGCAAAATGGGCTGCGGCATCTGAGGGAAAGAGGAGAGAGACGCTGGTTCAAGTTTCAGTAAGGCGCACTGGCGGCAGACCTTGCGGCACACATTGCGATCACTTGAGAAGCGGAGCGACTAATTTACGCGACGCGAGTGGAACTGAGATGACAACCGGTCCGTCTCTTTGCGCCGACAACATCAGGAGCATCTCTGACCGATGGGAAGCCACAAAATGTATTTCTTTCCAACATTGATATAGTCGCACCGTGAGGTCATTTGGCGTCAATCTCAATTATTACATTCATTAGAAGGACAGGTTAAGAACTTGTGACAAAAGCCGTATTTGTATGCCATCGAGATTTTCAATTGGTTCGCCTCATACTGATGAGTTGACTGATTTTCAAGTGAATTAAAAAAAAAAAAACAAAACAAAACATTATTTTAGATCTACAATGGAAACGGAGCAGAAATGGACAGCCGCTGCGAAAATGAGCACAAAGCTACAGAAGACCCCTTCCGAAAAGTTCAAGTGGGACAACTGGAGACATTTTTCTTCCGTCACGATTTGTATTGCATTATCTCTGCTAAGTGTTGGAATATGCATTGGAGTTTTTGTGTGGACAACGGCGTTGCAGTCAAGGATAGCGAGTCTTGAGCAGCAACACCTCTCTGCCTGGATGTTGTCCCTTGAGCAGGTGGAGCCCGTGATTTTGAACAGATTGGACCAAATCCTGGACAAGGTGGGTGCTTCTTTTCCATGACTTTCACGATATGTGTCGCCTAATCTGATGAGGAAATCTGTACTTGGTGAATTCTAGATGAGTACTTTGAAAATTAATATTTTCTTCTCTTAACAAAAAATGCCCTGCATCCACTAGAACCTAATTTCACTTGGAAATTTAAGTCGAAATATTGTAAATTCAATTTGGGTGATAGTCATTAATTTACAAGTCACATTTAGAAAAATTTGGAAGTTAGAATAAACTGAGTTGGGTCCTGAAAAAAAAATTATTTAGGTGGCAATTACTTCATCTATCATCAAAGTGAAGCTACATAAAGCATTTTAAATGCCATCGTATTATTCACATGCCAGTATGATGTTCAATAAAAAGTCATTATTTATTTCTTGGGCAAATAAAATAATGACATAATAGTATAATTAGTAGTGGAGGATAGGTTGCATTCTAATATGCTCTTTTTCAACTCATGGCACTTTGATGAGGCAAATAAAAGGGAGACGTTTTGTAAGGATATTTATTCTGGGGAAAAAAACAACTTTAATATACACTTCATGGACCCAAATAACTGGTCCTTGTAATTTAGTTTAGTGTTTAATAAATTAATTGACTGGTTGGCTTGATTGCGAAGAGCACAAAAAAAAAAAAAAAGCATTGAAATTTTTTTTTACAAATTTTAAAAGCTAAAGCACCCGTAAAGCCAATCCAGGGCACGGTCCAAATTGATTAATTGATCCATTTGTAAAGCTGAGTGTCCCGAGGAATTTCCGAATGACAATTCTAATTATGAATCTGCATTGGTTTATAATGCAAGGCACTCTTCCTGGCCTTTCACATCTGGTGCTCCTAAAGGCACCCTGTGCTCCCCTTTTATTGACCACTTCCACAGCTACACTAACAAGCTTTCCCAGAGTGATTGAAGTCTTCTAAAGGCCTGTTTTCTCTACCTTTGTTTTCTTTGGCCAAACCCTGATCATCCCCCACTTCACCCCACTGCTTTCTTCGAAAGAGGCATTTGCTCTTCCGAGGTGAGCAAAGAGCCCAATGCTTACTAACGCTAAAGACACATGAAAAAAAGAAGACAAAATTCAAGCAGGGGGGGCTGAAAGAAGACTACGAGATTGATACAAGAAATTTGGTTGTTGCTGTTCAGTAAGATGGCCTCTTGTGCAACCGATTTTGTTAACTTTAAATGTACATTTCGCCATTTTAGTTTAAATGAGTTTTAATAGACAGAAATCATTTCTCATCTGTGAAATGTTAAAGAATGATGTTCTCTGACAAGTAAAATTTTACAACTTAGGCGCTATGGAGATCTGTTAGTGAGAGTGACCATGAGGCACACAGTGATGAGGATCTCCTTCATCTGCGCAGACATGCCCAAGGCAATGCAGCAGGCCTTTTTTGTTTATCTCTGTGCGTACACAGAGTCATTATTAATGGGGCACAACCAGATGTACCCTTTCACAGAGAGAGAGAGAGAGAGAGAGAGAGAGAGAGAGAGAGAGAGAGAGAGAGAGAGAGAGAGAGAGAGAGAGACTTCACTGTTACTTTCAAATCACTTATGATTTGCCTATTTTCAACACAGCTCAAAGTTGTCCAAAACTTTGTGCACAGTACAGAGGAACTCTGAACGCAATCTATTTCATGACACTGGTCAATCTTCCAATTGTTTGGATTTTTCAACTATTTTCCACAGAAAATAATGGCAACAGAATCTGTTTTGAGGTAGAACTTTTGTCACCATCATGAAACTTGTTTTACAGGCAACATTTTAGCCCTCTTAACTGTTAACGAATGTTTAAGGTGCTTCTTGTTACAAGTGTGCTTCACCTATCTCACTTTTGAACACAATTTCTTGCACTTATGTAAATATAGCCAAGTTACGACAGTTTCAATTCAATCACTCATAATGGAAGACTGTATAAGTTGCAAATAGTGATTACAACTCCTGGAGGTAGTGTGTCGGGAAGATTCCATCTTGGAAAGGTAGCTTTTGGGCCAGAGGATTGGACTTGGACGAATATTCAATTTCCATTGCCAAATGCAGGTCAAGTTGTTTTGCCAGACTTTGCATCACACAGCTGTTGTTCCATAGCGTTGTGCAACCCAAGATTTCTATGCAAAATATACTTCTGGTTTAAACTATTGGGCCTCACAGGGGCTTGCGGTGCACGGAGCTGCCACGGCCCCAGCACTCCTGATAATTTGGTAAAGTAGTTTGCGCTTAGCTTAAAAACAAATATATCTCCAGTTTTGTGTAGTTTAGCGTGTTTGTGAGTTTGGTAGATGCACTCTGCTTTGCTGGGGGTTTTGGGTGATGCGGCTGCGTGGGGGTGCATCTCACAGTTTGTTTCTGTTTCCGCAATGTCAGGCCCCATATGCGCTCCCAACATCCTAATTTAAATGTAAATGAGGTATGCCGCAATGCTTGGCCGGCAAAACCCAACGTTACATCCCACAATGGAGCTTAATCGCGCAAACGTCCCATTACACCAGTTCTACCTGTGCAAAGCCAAGCAAAATACCAAAAAAACTACAGTCGCTTTTGACTCTGCTTTGGGCTCGATTTGTGCTGGGAACGGAAGTACGGCCCTTAATAATATCTCCACCGGCAAATGTGAGTCTCCGAACCCCAAACCAGATATCTACTATACTACCAAAATTGGCCTGGGGGTGGCAGCACAGTTCCACAATTGGTGCTGGAAATATAAAACTGGGCTAGAAGACTATAGATCAGTGGTTCTAAACCTGGGTTCAATCGAACCCCAGGGGTTCGGTGATTCATCTCAGGGGTTCAACGGAGCTTCTGCCATGGAGGGCAATACTCAACATGTCAGTTAATTATGACACGCCCGCTTGGCCATCACTGGCTGCAGATGATCACATTACATTGCTTGTCCAATTGGTGCTGTGGGAAATTTTGTTCGCTTAGTAGTCAACGTGTGAGTGTCGTGATCGTACGTCGTACAATTAAAAAAAAAAAAGTATACTTGTCTTTTGAAATTGTATTTACTTTTTTCTGTTTTTAATAAATGATTTTTTTTAAATGTATTGAATTTGCAATATATATATAT